CTTATCAGTCCTCATATCAGGGATTCACTTAATATGGCACTACTTATTGCACAGCATTAGTAGTGCATTCTTTGAAAATTGTAAATGATACAAATGGCGTGCAAACGTTTGATTTGTCCACCAATTGTATCGAAAGTTTCTCGATTCAGACCACAATTATTGTACCGTCTGACTGTACAAAGTTGAACTATACGCCATCTGATTTTCAACTGCTCAGCCAATGGATGCGAACCATGTGATCCATCAGTTTAATCCATTCTGTCAATGCATCGGATACAATCATCGACGTCACTGGCTATCAAGAAAACCTCCATCTTGACCCTTTCCCAGTCCAGCTTGGCCTCTCGTGTAGCGACCAATTAGTCTTCGGTTTGATTTACTCATTTTTCTGCATTCAAAGTCATTCGAAACCAGCATAATTTGATTATCAGAAACTCTGTATTTGCTGGTTGGCCGGCTTTTGAAATTCTCTATTTCGGGCATTCTTTTTTCGTCATAAATGTACATCTGCTCACGAACGCTTTGCCCTTAGCTTTGGTACTTATCTCGTCGCAGAGACAGTGCCTGTGTTCTGCTCAACGTTGTGTATGTGTGTATGTAAACTCCGTTTTACGCATTCACATGCACCGGCCTGCAACCCAACCTGTCTGTATGCTGCCATCGCGTGTGTGTACATGTGATGGTTGCGCCGCTCCTTCCATCGTCGATCCATTTGGTCAAGGTACCTTCAACAGGATAAAGCTCTGTTGTAGTTTAGGAGGACAATCTTTGTCCAGTCCAACAGCATGCTCGGGGAAATTGAATGGGGCATAGTTTAGACAGGCAGGCCACATGACCATCGTGTGATTGACTGCCACGTTCAGACAGGAAATGAACCTGGAGCGGGATTGGCCTACCTGGCGAATGTAACCAGGACATCGGACACTCCTCTGCCAGGCAACTGGACACTGGACTGTTATCAGGGCTTTTTTTGTAGAAAAAGTGAGCTAGCTTACATCTTGCCCAACTTGCCTCCCTCTCCTTTTGTTGCCCAACTGTCAGCAGAGGCTAAAATCCGGGCTAAATATGCAAATGAACCTTTCATTTCCGTCTTAAGGCTTGCTAATAAGGTGTTTTCGTTGTCAGGCCATGACTTTTGCGTATTGCCGATATAAGCTAAAATATGCATTTTAATCAACTGCTAAAGCCCTACGAGACATGCAAAGACATGGAAAAAATTCGATCATACATAAGCACAACGTTGTACGCTTCGCGTGTTATGATGGTGACTAGGGCTTGCTGTGTTCACTCGTTTTTCCTATGCACGAAAGCATCCATGACCGAGTATCCGATAGAACTTTGATCGTGGTTAACAACTACACACCAAAGGCAAAGTCCGACATTCACCGATTTCGACATCCGGACCGATTTTTCGTCTTCGTTTTCTAATAAGACAGACAGAATTCTTTTTTTTCGTATATAAATGGGTTTTAAAAACTATCAATAGATTATTTATATGAGATGTATTCACCCATTT